ATGCATTATAAGCTGAATGATGCTCGCAAATTCGCTTTGTCCCTCCAAGTATATAACCTATTTGAAGTTAATGGGTTGGATTGTAGTCCGTTAAAGTTATTAGTTTCAAAATTAATAATTGTATATGTTAATTTAATGAATTTATTAAAACAAATATAAGGTTTAAATTAAAAGTACTGAGTTTGGTTGAACCCAAACCCGCATGCAAGGGCGGCTCAATACTTTTTGCAACCTAAAACCAAAACATATTAAAAGGCCCTTAAATTTTATTTGTAAATTCATATAATAATGAGATACAAAGCAAACTCCTAGGACTTTGGCCTAGTGGTAAATGTACAACGGGTGATGTATGAATTAGGTGCATGTCATCGTTTGGAACTCTGATGTAAATAAAAATATGTCATTAATTAAGTGGAAGAAGGTAAAGGGCACGTCGATAATCTGTCAACTTTCGAATGCATCTGAGAATTTCTCTTAAAAGGATGAACAAAAAAATTCCTTGCTAACTGATGGATCAATAAAATATGGTGAAAAGGAAAACATGAGTTTTCTTTTAGGAAAAAAAAATTAGATTTGATAACAAAGTTAAATACATCACTTAATTAAATGAGAGAGAAATTTATCGTTACTTATCACTAAATTGTATAAATTTAAATAAACCTTTTAAAATATTTTATTAATAATAATTACATAAAATACATGTGACACACTCCCTTTATTCCAGTTTATGTGAACTTATTTCTTTTTTGGTCCGTTCCAAAAAGAATGATCCCTTTCTAAATTTGGAAATAATTTACCTTAAACTTATAATTCTACCCTTAATGAGAAACTTTTATAACCACACAAATTCTCTGAACCCCTTTTTGACTTGTTTAGGACCATAAATTCCAAACGTCTTATTTTTTCTTAAACTTTGTATCCAGTCAAACATGTTGACATAAATCAAAACGGAGGGAGTAGTGGCACTTAAAATTGAGACCCTTAATATTTTGTGGGCCTAAGGCAATGGCTTCATTTGCCTTAGCCTTAGGCCGCCCCTGAATTGCTAGCTCCACCCTAACCATAATTTATCCTTTCTTTTGCAATCAATTGACAGATCTCATAAGATTTAGATATTAGAGTTTTCATTGTTATTTAGTCAAGTCACTTTGAAACTAACGGTAGGTAAGCCGTTAATTATGTGAAGTATTAGTTAGTAATCTAAAAAAGTTAGACTGCCGTTAGCAAGTCTTTCCCAAGAAATCCCTAAGTTACCGAATTGATAGTGTATGAAGAGAATAAAAGTACATATATAAATTTAACAAATTGATCATTAAATAGCTAATAATAAACAAAAGTAAAAAAGCATAATCAAAGATGGTGCGCTATCAACTAATGGCGTAGTGGAAAGCAATGGATTGATGCGAGAATCGCGTTCGTTTAGGGTCCATATGATCAAGGTTATATATTTCTAAGCATTGTCGATTTTCAATTCATATGAAAACAACAACACACATAACATCTAATCATTAATTTTTGTTTATTCAATAATGTTTGGTTACTTGTTCCATTCATCTTGGTATAATATTCTCGAATAGCCTTTTCTGAAAATTTTCTAGGTCCTCTCTTGTCTAACACAGCCAATTGTCTCTTTGTAATATAGTAGTAATACTTATCTGAATTGCATATCGAACCGTTCTTTAATGAAATGAAATTCGTACTGTTAAGCCTGTTACAAGAAGCGAAAAATCGAAAATACGTCTTTGTTGTTTCCAAATTTTTTAAAAGTTGATGAACACATAAGAGGGTTGAAACATTAAAAAGATTACCCTTCTTATCCAAAACCCAAATCTAATAGGTCTTTTTAATAAAACGAGTAAAGAGACTTGCGGTATGTCTACCTATTTTTACAGTTTAATTATTCCTAAGTTTGGATGCATAGAAAGAACTCTTCTTTTATGAACAAGTGAGTTTTCCAACCGTCATAATTGTGTTTATATAGACTGCATCAAAATTTAGAATTAGCGGATTAATTAGCTAACACTCCTTATAAGTGTACATGACCCAAACGCTATTTTTTCCAAGAGGTGTCTCTATTATAGTCATATCATAAAGATGATTGAAGTTTTTCAAATTTCAGGACGCAAATTTCATCTTGGTTTCAACTTTCAAATAAAGTCAAAAGAAGCAAGAGACCACTTCACTTCTTACTTGTACTCACACTCTACTTTTTAACAGCCAATGATATACTACTAGACTTGACTCGAAATTATCATTGGTTTCACTTGTTCTCTCACTCCACTTTTTAATAGCCAATCATCTGCTAGATTTGTTGAAAGTTAGTATTAAATTGGGATATCTTATTGGTCATTGCTTGGAATAGCAACTTTATCATGGGGATTGAGGATAAAGACAACTTCAAAGTTTCTAAGCTAATCAATGCAAAACGAAAGTAAGTTCCTCCACAAAATTACTACTCCTACTACAATTATTTATGCGGCTTGACTTTCTTCCTGAATTCTCAGCTTAAATTGAACAAATTTTTTCTTGTCTGGCTGCAGTCTGTCTTTTCGAGTTGTTCAGCATTTGAAATTCCTTTAGAGCAGTTTTGGGTAATGGTTGTAATATTGGGTATATATATAGTTCAAATATCACCAAAACTTCTATTTTTTTCTTCCTTTCCCTTAATTCTATATTCACGGACCTAACCCTCCCAAAATAAGAATTTTTACCTAATTGTACTATATTATAAATTTATTTACTCATATTAGAGAGGGTATCACTTAATTACATTTAATATACAAATTTACTAAACATTTAATTGGTAATAACTAATAATCAATACACACGCCTATAATTACTCACCCTACTTATATGGCTCATCTAACCCACCCACTTGCTTAAGTAACTATTGAAGTTGCTTAAACAAGAGTCAGTTATTTAAGCAACTCGATCAGTTGTTTAAACAACTCAATTGGTTATTTAAATAACTACTAAAGTTGTTTAAATAAATCAATCAATTGTTTAAACTGAGTTCATCTAGATAAATTACAGTTATCATATATCATAAATTTAAGTTATATACATTATCAATATAAAAAAACTATCGATAGAAATTTAATTTTCTAGCAATTGTGAGTTTTCTGCATGAGGAAAAAAAATTCAACCGAAAAGTGCATCACGACCTTCTTTGTTGAAAAAAATAAATAATATTAATAGCTTTCTGAAAAATTTTAAACAAGTTTTTTTACAAAAGTTTCTTAGGTGAAGCCGCAATGTTGGAGTCAAAAGAAGGAAAACAAAAGAGACCAATAGAATGATAGATATTGACGAAACTTATTAAGAAGAAGAGACATGTGACTGCCGCAGCACCGTTGGTGGCGGCTGCCAATTCATTCTTCAAAAAAGTAAAAGGATGTCCTGACATGCACAATTAGCGCGTGGATCATTAACAATTTGTTTTTTCGGTTTTTAGTCCGAAGGACCATTAAAGAGGAAGTTTTTTCTGCTAAGATTTTTTATTCCGAAATTTAGAACCCGAAACCTCTGATTAAGTTCGAAGTAATTTTATTCATCTTATCACATTTTTTGAGCGATGCTCGTGAAAAATCAATATTCCTCAAATGTATTTTTCTAGTTTTTTTTTTAAAAAAATTGGAAGTTACTTTTATAGTTTTTACATAAACAATCCGACAATGGTAACGATGCCAAACGTTTACATCTAAAATATCTAAAATTTCTACAGTGTCTAGGCCCCGTTTGTCCATAAAAAAAAAAATTTAAAAATGTGTTTATCCGTGAAATTTGCAAGTTTTTGAAAAAAAATCGAAAATGAGTTTTTCAAAAATCAAAAAGTGATTTCAAAATTTTCAGAAAATTTTTTTTACCCACTCACAAAATACGAGTTTTTTCAAGTGAAATGCATGTCCAAACATAATTTCAAATTTCAAATATTATTTTTCAACTTAACTCCAAATATTATTTTTCTTCAAAAATTATAATTTTTATGTCCAAACGCCTACTAAGTTTAAACTTTCAGGCTTGAGCATAGTGTTCTTTGCCAAAATATCTACAAGCTAAATGTACAATCATTTGGAAAAAAACTTCAAACCATAGATAAAAAGTGTATTCCTCAAACGATTTAGAAATGTATTTAAAAATGAACAACATTTTAAAATTTTAATCTTTTTCCTCATATAAGACTTAAACTTAGCTTTTAAAAAAACCTTTTTTTATAAAGTATAACCTGTTCTATTCTTGTTTAATGGAATTTGGAAGAGGGTGTCGAGGATATCAATCTTTTGGAAAACTGAGGAAAATTTTGAGATAGCTAAAATTAAAAAAAAAGTAGCATGGCTGATTCAAGACTTTCATTTTGCTAAAGTTTAGTGAAAGAGTAGTTTTCCATGTCCGGCTATTATACGTAAAGGACCGTGTCACCATTGCATTTTATATTTGATTTACAATTATAATGTATTGATCACAATAACTGAAACATATAAATAACAAAACATACCCCTTATATTATTTCGTCTTTGATTAATTATCTTTTATTACCTCATGTTTGGTTGTTATACGATAATTATAGTATTGATTTTAAATTGCAAAAAATTGTTTAAAATTAGCCTTCATTTTGGGAAGACTAATTCATCAAATGACCCGAAATAATATTTAATAGAAAAGAACCTGAAGCAAAAGGTTAGAAAAAGGAGGGGAAAAAGAGGGGGGAAAAGAAAAAAAGAAAGGAAAATCGTGTTTCAAACAATTAAGACAAAAACAGTTATTTTGCTGTTATAGATTTTTTTACCGTGATATTGGTTCAATAGCAGAGGGAGCTGAAACTGAGAAACCTACCGTAAATAAATAGCCCACTTAGGGGTAGTTTGGGGATTTCAAAAGTTTCAACTTCAGAAACGGACAAAAACAGTGGCTCAGCAGGCAAATACGGACAATATGAAGGGCAAAAGAAAGAGGAAAAGCAACAAAGACGCCGAAAATGATAAAATATTCAGAGGGGAGATAATTAAATACTAAAATCGATAATGGAGCTGCTCTATTTGTAATGGCGGTGGCGACTTCCCAAACGCACCGAGTCTGACTCGTCAACTTGCGAGTTCATTCAATACGCGTGAAGCTGTTAACCAGCCATCAGAATCTCGGAAAATTCCTGCTCCGGTCATCGGCGGAGTGAAATAGACGGCGTTAACTATTTGATGTTAACGGTGGAGAGAAACTAAGCGATGATGAGCCCGAACGGATTCAGCGGTTTAGAGAAAGAGTATATAAGGAAGCATCATCATCATGACCTAGCGGAGAATCAATGCAGTTCCTTTCTGGTCAAGCACATTCGAGCGCCTGTTCATCTCGTTCGTCCTTTTCTCTCTCTTTTGCATTTTATTTTTTTCGCGGATCCGTTGCTTTAACTTTCAGCTGAGTGTTTTTCTCGAGATTGATTATCTTATGAAATATCTTGAAGCTAAAGCAATAAATTCGTTATATTTGCGATGATTGTATGGGTTCCGAATTAGGTTTAATTTTGTGATGTCTTGACTGGTTTTTTAGTTTGTATTCATCGTTATATTTGTGTTCATTGTATGGTTCCGAATTAGGTCAACTTTCATGTACATTAAGCTTTGATTTAGACAACCTGACCATGAATTAGTTTTATGTCTTGGTCAAATTTGTATAGGAGATGAAACGGGGGGAAATTGAATTGTTTCCTGTTTTAGGTCAAGCAAAGATTGTATGTTCTTTTGAGTTCCAGTCGTTTAGCTGTTTGGTTTATCTGGTTTTGAAAGTGACTCTTAGGACTAGTTTGGTTAGTTGTATAAGAAAAATGATCGTGGTATAAAACTATATATACAACTAATAATCAAGAATCTATTTTTCATTTGATCCTGGAATAAGAGTACATGTATTATTATTACCAAGATTAGCTAATTCTTGATTTTGGCATCACAATCTCTGCAAATCTTCCATGTAAGATATTGTCTTCCATGACAGAGAAATTCATGTATTATCATTTCTCATAGCAAACCCTGTATTTTAATTCTTGCATAACTAGTTCGTGAACCAAAACAATCCCATGAAGAACTACCGAATGCAAGTGCTTATAGTTAACAAAGAGAAAAGGCTAAATGCATGAGTGATTGATATGTTCATTGATTATGGAAAAAGGGGTGAATGACTCATCTGCTTAGTCTCGAAGTTTGATTAGCATAGCTTTTACTTTGACTGAAGTTCTGGATCAACTCTTATAACTGCAAGAATGGCAAATTATTTTCTCTTGTAACTTACATTTTGTAGCTTGTGTTCAGTCAGTCCTAATGGTAGCTGGGTCTTCCTCTTTTTATCAGGTTTGGTCATTGGTTAGGAGGTTTGATCAGCCACAAAAGTACAAGCCCTTTGTCAGCAGGTGCATTGTGCAAGGAAATCTTGAGATTGGTAGTCTTAGGGAAGTCGATGTCAAGTCAGGCCTCCCTGCAACAACGAGTACTGAGAGATTGGAGCTTCTTGATGATGAAGAGCACATCTTAATTGTCAGGATTATTGGCGGGGATCACAGACTTAGGGTATTAAACAATTCTCACTTCTTTTGTTTTTTCCTTTTTTTCCCATTATTTTTTCTGATTTTTAACAACTTAGAGATTTCATTGTTATTAAGTACACTTGAGCATAGGTTTCTTTCTCAGTGGATGATCATTTCTATGGTGGAGAATTGCCTTCAAACTAGTTAGAGTACCAAAGTGCTTATTAATATGTATATAAAGAGAAGCTCAAATCATCTGATATTGATATTTGTGTGGTAGTGGCATTGCATATCTACTATTCCTCTTCCTCTAAAATAGCCTACACAACTTGTCAACAAAAAATTGAGATTTGCAGTAGTGTTACTCGAGGCAAAAAAGTAAAAATAAGCATGTTTCTCATCTAAAAGATTAATTTTCGCTATTAAGCTTTATTGCTGTTGGAATCATAGTAAAGGTACTTTCTGTTATTCTACCATGTCACATTATACGTTTAATGCCACCTTTGACTTGTGCATTGAGAACTGAAGAAAATAGATGAGCTTATAGGCATTTGAGGAATAGATAAGTGTGTATCTTTCTGATGCCNTTTCCTGATGCAAATCCTTTCTTAGAGCCAACTCTATGGGTTTTCTGATTTGGCACAAACAATAAGGTTTGTGTTATATGCACCAGAGTATGACAAACATTGTAGAAATAATCAGGTTGTTTGTGGTGAAAATTTTCTGAGCTAGAGCAACACTTCGATTGATGATAGTGCTATGAAACTGAATGATAAATACACCGCAAAGTGATAGTTAATTAGCTCTTAAGGTTATTCTTAACAGAGAGCCGAGCATGTACCTTTTAAAAGTATGATAAGCTTTGTCAGAAGGTCCATCAGAAGGCCGAGATAGATTCATTTTAAATTGCTATCTTATTGATAATAAAGGGAGGATGATACATTATGTAGCCCAACGTGGGTGTCTGAACTTGTGACTTGGATTGGGTTACGGACTTCCATGCATTTCCTTTATAATCGGAATGCGGAAAATTGAAAATTCGTTGCTGTATGATTGTGATGTCATGTCTTGTAAAGGTAAAATGTAATATGTATTTGGATTCTTTTGAAGAAACTACTAGATGAATGATCTGCTTTATTTTAGCATGTCAAACATGATCTTTAGTTACTTCTGACCTATAGTTACTTCTTCACTACATTCAATTAAAATAATGCATTGTGTTTATCCCTCATTTCTTTTCTTTTTTTTCAACTTGATCTTTTTCCAGAATTACTCATCAATCATATCTGTCCACCCGGAGGTGATTGATGGAAGACCTGGGACACTGGTGATTGAATCATTTGTGGTGGACGTACCCGAAGGAAACACCAAAGATGAGACGTGTTACTTTGTTGAAGCATTAATCAAATGCAACCTAAAATCACTTGCTGATGTTTCAGAGCGACTTGCTGTGCAGGACAGGACAGAGCCCATTGAGCAGGTCTAATGGTTCAGGATGTTCTGAAGGTTATTACACTAGGGATGAAGCTTCCTCAAGGCTATTAGTTCTCTAAGGCTTTGGAGGCGGACTGGATGTTGCTGCTCTCTTCCCAGCTTCCCGTGCTGTTGGTGCTCTCTTTTTTATTTATTCTTTTTTTGCGGTGTATGTTTAGCATTCAGTCATATTACTTGTTTGTAGTGTCTCAGAACCACAGGTTTTACAAGGATCTCTAGACACCCCGTAAATGGATGAAAAGACTAGTTTGTTTTAATTCTTAGAATTCTGATAGTGGTTTGTGGTATGTCACTTGTCTTAGTTTAGCGTTGTTCCAGTGTCTGTTGAGTTGCTAGTCAGAGTCTTTTAAGTTGCATTTGTGGCCTCTAGTTGCAGTAAATAATGGTGGTGTACAATCCATGAGCTAATGTTGTACAGACTAGTTATAGAGAAAGGCTCTAGATCTGCAAACACTCTCTTTTATTTCGTTATTATTCATCATTGACGAGAAGACCTTTAACTGTTGCATAATGGCTGGAGCCATAAGAGGACAATTGAAGATGACTTCTAACCGTGCTTTAATGTAAACTGAGAATGATTGCCATGTGACTGCGTTGAGCACTTTCAATGCCTGTTTATTGAGCCTGTGACCTTTTACTGGGTACAAATGACTTGGGCAACCTTGCGGTCAATGGTCATGTATGCTCTCGTGCATTTGCTTATGTATTTATGTGAGTATGCAGTCTTAGTTAACTGTTGGTAAATCAATTGGAAATTTATTTGCGGAAATTGTCCATAAATTTCTTGAGTCACAGGGGAGCAATGTGATACTCTGATGTGTCCTGCCTATTCCCCTGTTGATTAGTTGTCACTTACACTAGTTACCTATACCATGAAGTAATTATCAGGTTGAATGCCTACTCCTACTTTTCTTTTCTTGATCAGGGAAAGTGCATAGCTGTATTATCTGAACCCCATAAGCTATATGGTTGCATATCACATACCCGCAAAAAATAAAAGTCTTGACTGTTTTTATTTTTTTATATATTGTAGAATTGAGGATACAAATGTGTACATTAAATTAACTGAATGCTGCATTTATATGAACTGATCAAGATGCAAGGGTCATGCTTGGGCAGCTGTCGAATGCGCAGGCCAGTATGTCTCTATAGTCTCGAGATATCCTGAACGAGTCGTAAACTTCACCATCTCTGCCTTTTTTATACTCAAACAACAGATTTGAATGATCAAATGCTGTCAACTTCACAAATCCATGGTCATAATCCCTGAAGATACTCCATGTAGTTTGGATGGGGGTAAAATCTGAAAGGCTTGCTCCAGCTCCTCCAGCAGCTACGTGTATAGTTCCATTCAAGGCACCCTTATAAAAGTGCTTCTCATTGTTTGTACAAATATTCTGCAGTAAACAAGGAAGTGGTGTCTTTGCATCAGTCAAATAAAAGAATGTGGAACCATTTTAATTAGTAAGAAATAAATGTAAATATGATGGGTGGAAACATCCTATATATTTGCAGTCTGCTTTAACTAAATGTCGGATGATAGGCAAAATAACATACTAAGATTTGCGCCTCCTTTTACAATAAATGAAAGAAGATCAAATCGGGAAGTTCAAAAATAACCTGGTAGATGGGACACGTCCGCTCGTAGTTATGAACATGGCCAAAAATGGCTATATCAACTTTATACTTCTGCCAGAGTTTTTGAAGGCTTTCCCTACCCATAGGTTCTGCAAAAGATCCCTTATTAGCGTAAGAAGAATCTGAAGAATATCCCAGTACCCGATGAGCAAGGAAGATTAGCCATGGTTGTTTTTGTCTGTCTACAGATGCTAGACAATGTTCAATGAAGTTATATTGCTCGGTTCCCTCCCTCCAATCGTGTTCTGTATCAGCTATGCAGAACCGGAACATACCATAGTCTGTAGAATACCTGAGAGAAGAAAACAAGAATACTGAAACTAGTACAGAGGTTGGTCAAACTCTGTATAACAACCTCGTTTGTTCTGACATTTTTTTTATGTTAATAGTGAAGTGTTGTTATAGAAAACATCTATGATAACATAACATGAAAAATTGATTCCAATGAAAACTTGACCGTTATATTGAAGTATTGTTATAGAGAAGTTTGACTGTATCTGAGAGGACGGTTCGAACAAGTATATAAGTAGTGGATGGGCTAGATTCAGGATTTTGTCCTACTTTCGACTCCTATTTTATTTTCCCTTTTCTTTGGTTCATCAACTTTTTTTTTCAAGGTAGATTCAGTTCTGCAAAGACACTGTTTCAAAGCTAACAATCATTGAAGGAGAGCTTCCTAATTCACGGATAATGATCAAATGGAATTTTTCAAAAGAATATATTCCATGAAGAGAAAAGATTGGGGCGGTCACAGAGATACCGTGAGTTTCATAGTTGAGCAATGATGATATATCCCAAGAGTCGGAAAAAACCCCTACAGAAACGAAATAATCAGATAGGTAAAATCACCATACCAGAACTTATCCCTGTTCTCTGTGGGAACGTAAAACATATTCTGAACTAAAACTCCACATTCTCCACCTGAATCCATATTGCCATAAAATGAGCCCGTATCAGGCCAGTCGCGCTCATGGTTGCCACTGCAGAATGAAGTAAAGAATTACCACAAAGCCAGCAGAAAATTCTTAAACGTTCAACAACAACAACAACCCAGTAGAATCTCACTAGTTAAACGTTCAACAAGGTTCTCCTAATTAGAAATGCAGTGTACCTAGCAAGCATATAAGGTATAGTTGAAGCGATTGGCTCAATTTGCGAAGTAAACTGATCCCACTGTGAAATGTAGCCGTTGGCATAACAGATATCACCAATGTGGAACACTATATCAATGTTCTTTAAATCATTAATTAGCTGATTGGTAGTGTTAAGAGCGCCAGGTTGAAATTGATTATATTCATTGGAGCCATCAGCTTCATCCTGTAGTACGTAATAAAGAAAAAGCAGATCATTACAAGATCAGCCTGATTAGAATAGTTAATTTTCAGAATGCTTAACCAGTTGTTTGGAACTATGATTTTGTGAAGGAAAGCAAACACAAAATGAAAAATACCACGAAAGTTGAATTTGGTCCTTGAACAAGGAAAAAAGTAATTTGAATAAACTGTTTTACTTGTCTGGTTTCCAATTTTATCCAAGAAAGAAAGAACTACCAAATTGACATCTACAATTTACTATAGAGTTTCTGGTAATAATCTAAAAGTTACAGGGATGAGTAGACAACAACAACAAAAATCCCAATGAAATATCATAAGTGGGGTCTGGGGAGGGTAGTGTATACGCAGATCCTACCCTACCCTGGGAAGGTAGAGAGGTTGTTTCCAAAAGACTCTCCGCTCGAGAGGATGAATAGAAAACAATCGAATAGCCAGAAAAATGATAACAACAATGTAAGAACCAGAAAAATAGATGGAAGAAAGCAATATCACTACCAATAGCAACAAGCAGTAACTACGACAAGATACTAGAAAACCACTGGGATGAGTAGAATTACTTTTAAAACTTGAGGCAAGGCTACCAACTGAACTAGTTGAACATAAAGACACGAAATGATCACAATTCTCTATGCTTTTAGACACCTGTGTATTTAAGTAGTGACATCATAACTCACAACTATGACAACTAACAGTCCTAACTAGTTGATCTATCCGTCTTGAGTCCGAAAATCCAGTTGGATGATGAATCGGATATGGGATTTGCACCATAATTGAGCACTTACCTAGAAGTGCCAGACTATTGCGAATATTGTCATTTTTCTTTTTCCTCATTCTCTCACCTTCGTCAGAAAGGTGCTTATCCTCAAAATAATTTGAAAATTTTGCATTCTTATGCTACTTTGCTATTGAGAAAAGCTTTTTTCTGGCCTCTCTTCCCCGTGAACTTGACAATCCAAATGGAAAGATAACAAAAGCTTCAAAATTAGTACTCAATAAAATAACATGTAGCAGCACAAAAGGAATGCAAATCTATGTGAAAGGATCAAAATTAAAGGTTATAGCAATGTAACTAAATCTGAAGATGTTACCTTTCCCATGTCCCCGAAAATGACAACACGTTGTAGAGAATTTTGACCGGGATAAGGAGATGATTTAAATTGATATGTCTGACTCCAAATATATGTGTCATTGAAGAATCGATGACCAATCTTGTAGGTATACCTGCAAAGACAAAGATGCAGTGTGATCCTGAATTTCACGTACTAAAACAACAAAACATAACACTCACAGTTCTATAAAAAGTACTAGCTCCAACTCATCTATAAATACAATGAAGACAATTTTCGTTTTAGAAGTATAACATTTTGACATGGAGTTTTGGAATATTAAGTAAAATCCAAAGCTCCCATAATGGAAGATAGAAGTACACCTGCCCAAGAACAGTTTTCAATGTTCGCTCATTTATGGAAGAATGAAAACATGTATTTATACGCAGTTGTCGCAGGCATGGATAGAAAACATACAGCGAGTTCGGCCAAAGTTCTTTTAGTAAACTAGTGTGGATGAATCCAGGATCACGCCATCCAACAGTTCGTGCTGGTGCTCCTGCAAGTGGCATCATATTTGAGAAATACCACTGACGATCCACCTTAACATTTGACACAATTAAATAACATGCTTTGTAGGATATGTTGATTCTCGGGGTAATGCATGGTTCAAGATTAGTTTCTGTATGACAAGCATAGAAAGTGATCTACTGCGCGAGAAATTTGAATATGTCAAAATTATATGAACTAAGTCATACCTATGTTTTACCTATGATTATTCTTCATGCTAGTTCTCTAACAACTAATCAGTTGGCTCTATCCAATTAACTCCAGTAAGCGTGTTAGCCGTGATTACCCCATTTTTATTCTATACCCAAAAACATCCTCAAATGTAAGAGAGTTCAACGCACCACACATGCTGCTGCGATCAAATGTCAATGTTCCTGCTGGAGTACGCCCCTTTTGTCCTCCGTTTCGACCCCATTCCACGAAAGGTTCTGCTTCGTTGATTCCATATCCACTTGTCCACGTCACAGTCATCTGAAAGTCCAAAGAAGGTTGTTTCCTCAATTTATTTGTGAGACACATATGGAATAAAGATAGTTGACTACAACCTAGTCCACAAAAGCTAATTTCTGATACAATTAACAAGGCACTGATACTGCAAAAAGGATCCTGCCTACAGAAATTAAAAATAAATATTAAGCTGCCGAAAGCTTATTTTGACCTCTGTTTGCAGGGAAAGAAGCACTTACTTCACCCCATGTCTTTCCTTGTGCTAAGCGCGGGTATACTGGTGCATTTGGATTTGCAAAGGCAACTATGTTTGATACTGCAACCAGCTTTGGCTGTTGGATAAGGAGATAAATTAAGTAAAATGAGATCATTACGAAGTTATATGTTATATAAAAACACTGCAAAAACAGGAAAGTGAAAGAGGAATAGAAGGAAATCCACACACAGAAAGAGACA